CTTAGGTAATACGTTGGGGTTTAACTTTGAGCTTATCATATATAATGGAAGTAGAAGGAACGGAATTTGACCCCACCACCGAAGAAGGTCAAATCGACATTAACGATGAAGAATACGAGTCTTTGCTTCCCAATGACAACGTAGACAAACAAGGTCTCTTTATTAGATTACTTAACAAGTATGGCAGCAGATTCCGCGATGCTATGCATTCCTTAAGAGACAAATATAGGTCTAAGAATCCCGGCAAGCCCATTCCGGAATATCTACGAATGGAAGATTTAGTTCCTGAAGCTCCAGATGCTCAATGGCTTAGCAAAATCTAGGAAACAATGGATGAATCCATGGAAAAAGAACAGCCGGACGACTTTGATAGGCTGGTGGAACTATTACCCGATTGTGATCCTAAGAAAGCAATAATGTTATTTGATGAAGACAATGAATGGGGTAAAGAAATAATCCTGGGCAGACTTCCAAGAAGCGGCTCTAAAGTCTACGTAATAAAAGATGAGAGAGGAAGGTTCTTTGCCGACCCTAAGATTCCTACGACTTTAAAACAAGCCATTGGGAAACCTAATTTAGCAATACAGGAGCAAATGTCCGAGGAGCAAATAAACATCGGTAGGCAAAGGATGTACGCCGCCTTTGTGCGCGACTGCCGCCTGAAGCAGGTGGAAAGACAGAAGATCAAAAAGTCATACAACTTCAGCAGGCAAGAGAAACAATCAAAAACCTATCTACGCTAATAGAAAGGCGAAACGAGGAAATTTCTACCCTTGAAGAGGAAAAGCTTGCGGATATAACCTACATTCGAAGGGAAAAAGACGCGGAAATAGAAAGGCTCGTGAACAGAATCAAGGACGTGACATATGACCGCGGGGGAGAAATGCAAGAACTAACCGACGAACTACAAACTGCGAAGAAGGAAAAGGACACAATAAATAAAAGATATGAGGCAGTCGAAAAAGAGCTTAACGACGTCAAAGCAAAACAGGCTGAAACAATGCAGTCCTTTAAGGATGCCGTGGAAGTAGCAAAGGGGTTGGATGAAAGGCTTGTAAATTCAGTCAATGCCTTTGCGGAAGCCGAACAGGAAGGCATACAACTGCGAAATCAAATTGCCTTCAAAGACGAGCAAATTCGGCAATTAAGTGGTGCCGTCGAAGACTTAGAACATCACGCCAACGTGCAGCGGGAAATAATAGCTGACCAAACACGCCCCGAAGAAGAGCGGGCAGCTGCAGAGAGGGAATTGGAAACTACGCTGGAAAAACTCGAAGAGGTAAAAACGGAACTTGCCACCGCAGAGCGGGAACGGGGGCTTACCACCAAGGAAAAGATAAAAAGACTCCTGGTGAAGTATGGTATTCCTCTTGCATTCGCGGTCGCTATTAGCACCGTAGTAGGAGTAATCTTGTCCGCGCTTAAGGCTACGTGCGCAGGCGTAAAGAAATTAGGCAATGGGCTGACGAACTTAGGGAAAAAGATGGCAGCCGGCTTGCCTGGGCTGCTTGGTAGTGTTCTTGGCCTGGCACTTAGGGCCGGCGGAGAACTGTTGAAGTTCGTGGGGAATAACATTTGGATCTTGGTCGTCGCTATTGGAGTGGTACTCCTGAAGAAGCAAGGGGTTAATCTTGTCCTTGTGTATTACTGGTGGCTTGTCGTCGTCAGGCCTCCGGGGTGTTCTCGACTTGGGGTAAGTAAAGATAGTACTCACGCCGCCTTGGTAATTCGGTACTAAAGGCAAGACGCTCATGGTGCTAATGGGCTTATGATTCCAAGTAGCATCCGTCGGGGGATCTTTTGACGGGGCGGCATTTATCCGAAGGTAGGCAACGTCGTTGGGGAGAACTTGTAACTTCGCATATTGGCAATTGGCTATCATGTGAAAAGTTACCGGCGTTAAGTCTTC